GTATATGCATGTATATGAGTTACGGTTACCATTTAACTATAAGCCGGGGCGTATGGTTGTTTACTATATTCGTGTAGAATGTATAAACATAGTGTGATATTACAGAAAAAGTACCAGGACTACATGAAGTTGCAGGCAGTTAGAAGGGATGTGCCAGTGAAATTATATATAGAATTTAGAGTGATGACGGAGGAGTGGTATCACGGGTGTTATGATAACGTGATGTCCGTAGTGCTGTTCATGTATATAGACGACGGTTACCACTTACCATCAGGCGGGCCGTCAGCTCGTTCGCCATTGCGATTAAAATAATATGTTGTTTAAAAGAGCAACATACAAATTTCTTGCTCGTTCTTCTTGTGATGAAACAGCTTTCCGAATGAGCGGTAGATTGAAGTAAATAAGTAATGACTATTCAAAAGTGCTTCAATGTAAGTTTATTTGAATAAATGATTTTGTATTCTATTCTATTCTCAATATATCTACTTAGGAAGACATTATTATCATTACATAGTATAAAACAAAGTCGCTGTCGCTGTCTGTCCGTCACTATGTATACTTAAATCTTAATTCTTTTGGAGGGAGCAGAAATCTGAGAGGATATCGAACCCGTAAACAATATATCTTTATTCATGTAGGTCTATTACAGACTCTTATAATTTTGATAATCGATTGAGGAACATATATATCTACGAACCTAAAAAAAAATTAGAATTGTACATACTTTTTTGAAGTGGGTTAAAATTATGTGGTTAACATAGCAACCAAGTTAATTTATTAATGATTACGAAACCAATGTATCAAGGTTTGTAATAAGGTCACATTAAAATAAACTAACTATTCACATATGTAATTACAGATAAAACATACATAATGATATGTAATTTTTTTTTAATGTAACTTAAGTAAATGGCAATTGGTGTGATGGCCCACTATAAAGAAAATATTAAAACGAAAATATCACACTGCAGATTCTGCCAAGCTGAAGAGGAAACGCCGCTACACATCCTATGTGGTTGTAGCACACTCATGCATAATCGAATATCTCCCTTGGAAAGTTTACACTCTATCCCGAGGAGATAAAAACCATCGCTCCTAAGAATATCCTTCAATTCTTGTCCCTGACGGGTCTAGGTAGCGAACTCTGAAAAGGGCGAGCACAATAGATCTATGTAGGTCGCAGTGCTACAGGTGCTACACATCTGACAATAGCCCAAACACCATATCAGATCGACCTCCAAGCGGTTCCCCCTGGAAACCATCGTGATAAATTTGTCACGTTGGGCTAACTGATCTGACTTCATGTTCATCTTATCATCCTCCACTGGTGCCCCGCCAGCGTAAACCGTTAGCGCAGGCGGGTGCACCATTCCATTATCATCCACAAAAAAAAAATAGGCCAAACAACCCAATAAAAAAAAAATCACATCATACTCTCCAAACTTCATGTTCTCCTGGTACTTTCACTGTAATATCAGTAACATAGTTCGTATTGTTTTTTTTTGTTCTAGATGGCGCTGTGTGAATTGTCCTGAGATTATTATTATGATTGAACGGTGATTGACTGACTGAAGGAAAATCTCAACCGTCGCCTCATGCTCTTCAAACTTCATGTTCTCCTGGTATTTTCACTGTACCATAGTTCGTATTGTTTTTTTTTATGTAAATAGATAGAATAGAAATCATTGCGGTTTTGGTGGTCTAAGGGTTTAATTCTGATGGTCGCAGGTTCGATTCCTCGCACGGTGCAAACATTTGTATTCATGGGTATGATTGTTTGTGTCGGTCTGAGTGTTTTCTATATATAATATTTACGTATTTAGAAAAAAAACTATGTCTTTGTATCAGTTATCTAGTACCCATAACACAAGCTTTAGCTAGCTTAACTTGGGTCTAGATGGCGCTGTGTGAATTGTCCTGAGATTATTATTATTATTATTGAACGGTAATAAATGTGACCTGAAGGAAAATCTCAATCGTCGCCTTATGCTCTTCAAACTTCATGTTCTCCTGGTACTTTCACTGTAGTGTATTGTACCATAGTTCATATTGTTTTTTTATGTAATAGACAGAATGTAATAAATCAATACGGCTTTGGTGATTTAGCGGTTTAGCACACCGCTTAACTTCTGATGGTCGCGGGTTCGATTCCTCCACTCATGCGTTTTATTTTAGAAAAATTATCTAACCAACATTTTTGTTAAATTCCACGTGGGCGAAGTCGCGGGCACAGATATTATGAAATATAAAGCGTTATAAACATAACGGTAGATTTGACATATCATAAGAGTCTGTAATAGACCTACCTGAATAAAGATATTTTGATTTTATTTTATTTTAGTAAGGACTCAGTTCCCTCTCAGTTCTTGGAATGAAAAGAACTGACGGTAGATTTGACATATCATAAGAGTCTGTAATAGACCTACATGAATAAGGATATTTTGATTTTATTTTATTTTAGTAAGGACTCAGTTGCCTCTCAGTTCTTGGAATGAAAAGAACTGACGGTAGATTTGACATATCATAAGAGTCTGTAATAGACCTACATGAATAAAGATATTTTGATTTTATTTTATTTTAGTAAGGACTCAGTTCCCTCTCAGTTCTTGGAATGAAAAGAACTGACGGTAGATTTGACATATCATAAGACTCTGTAATAGACCTACATGAATAAAGATATTTTGAATTTGAATTTGAACATAGACTAGCCTTTACTCTACGAACGAGTAGTAGATAAAAAAAAATTGTTATGACTATTCATACGTGCTTAAAAGTTTATTTGAATAAATGATTTTCTATTCTATTCTATTCTATTCTACCTCTTGTTATAGATAAGCATAACTGCTAACTGCTAACTTTATATTCCTTATTAAATTCTACACTAGCAAGTAGATGTTTCGAGGTGACCTAGAAATTGTCTATGACTCAATGTACCATACTATTATCTAATCTACTATTTAGCATAAAGACCATAGGTACTGCGCAACTCAGCACAGGGCCGGATTACGGGGAAGAGTCACGGGGCCCTACAATAATAACTCAGCACAATTCAGATAAGTTTCTATAGTGCGACACCTTTCACTTAACCAATACTTGTATCTCCCAGGTTGTCCCAGGTCATACTCGGGAACTGGTCAGTTCAAGTTGCGAACACTGATTAGATTTTTTATTTTTTGAAATGGGATTGTTAGTAATGTGGACTGATCTTATTGCTAGCAATGTACCATGTCAGGTTGACCTCCACGCGGTTCACCCTGGAAACCATCGTGATAAATTCTTGGTGAATTTGTCACGATGTGCTAACTGACCTGACCACATGCTCATCTTATCATCCTCCACTGGTGTTCCGCCAGCGTAAACCGTTAGCGCAGGCGGGAGCACCATTTCATTATCATCCATAAAAAAAAGTCACTCTATTCTCCCAAATTTGAATTTAAATGAATCTGTATTATTGTAAACATGTACAACATTTATTAAAAAAAAATAAGAGCTGAGTTTCTTGTCGAACGTTTGTGATTCAATATAAAAAAATATAACTTAAGGGAGTAAAATTAAATATGGATAGGGATGAAAGTTTATACGAAAAATCGTTATTTTTGAAGCTAGAACGATGAAATATTTTTATTTAGCTTTTTCAGGTTAGTTTATTGAATATTTTTTCTTTATTTAGTCCAGGTTGTAATAACACACAGACGAAGTCGCGGGCACGGCTCGTAGCATATATGTCTCAGCCCGATCGGTTTAAAATTGACAAAGTTTCATACAAACTTTCATCCCCTATTTTACCCCCTTGGGGGTAGAATTAATCAAAATCCTTTCTTAGCGGATGCCTACATCATATCATCTACCTGCATGCCAAATTTCAGCCCGATCCGTCGAGTGGTTTGGGCTGTGCGTTGATAGATCACTATGTCAGTCACCTTTGAGTTATATATATTTATTTATTTTTTATTTAGAAGTAGTATAAGTAGTTTAATAACATAATTTAAAAAAATAAGAGAGATATTAAGCTCTGTACCTATCCGATATTATCCGAAACTTTTATTTCGGATTGGTTTACGGTTACGGACCTCCTTAACATCACTTGTAATAACATCTATTCACACATCACGCGCGGGGCCCCAACGCGTACACTGTCTTACGTAATCCGGCCCTGTGTTTATGATAAGCACGAGTTGAATGGTTGACCGATATGCAACATTCCTCGTTATAATACTTACAGTGTCTCTAACGCTAACATCAAAACATGGTCTATCTTTTATATAAAGTACTTTTTTTTATGCCTCAGTGGTGGTAATCGAGCATACGGCCCGTCTGATGGTTACCGTAGCGTATAGACTCCTGTAACAGCAGGAGTGTCATGGGCGTAAATAAAAAAGGTGAATTGACAACCCCCTTGAAATTATGTGAATTAAAATAACATGAAATAGCTAGTAATAGAGCACTTGTATGTGCAAACAAAACCACCAAACCATACTCATATCGTAACAGCAATAGTGTATATGTCTGTCACCTTTGCGCGACTAAACGTGTGAACCGACCTTAATGTTTGACACAAATATAACTTATAACATGAGAAACGATATGCCATCGTTTATCTAAAAAAAAATCAGACAAAGTCGCGAGAAAGAGCTAGTATGAATATATGCAAAAAAGTTATTGCAAATGTAGTGTGTTAAAAAAAAAACTTGTGACACATTTTCATACGAGTAAAAACTATTTTATTCCTTAGTCTGCCTTCTGTGTTTTAAAAAGTATAACAAAAAAAAAGTATTTACTAGTATGAATATATCTATGCATTCAATTGCACGCAAATGTAATCTACTAATAATAAAAAAAAACACTTGTATAACATTTTCATTCAGCTAAAATCTATTTTATTCCTTTGCCTGCCTTCAATATCTTAAAAAATATAAAAAAAAAACATTTTGATACAAGTAAAAACTAATTCGTTCCTTAGACTCCCTTCTGTGTTTTAAAATATATAAAAAAAAACTTACACCAGAGATATCAAATATGGGTGCAATTTGACATTCTCCTGGCCGCCATTTTGAGTGATCCTGACGTCACCAGTTATCGCCATCTTGTCTAGCTAGAGCCATGTACCTGTTGATAGAATATTAATTATATTAATATATATTTTTATATATAGGATCATATCTTAAGAAAGTATATATATATATATATATATGTTACATATGAATGTGGATGGTTATAAGGGCAGAGGAAGACCGAAAAAGAGATGAATGGACTGTGTGAAAGATGATATGATAAGAAAGGGAGTAAATAACGAGATGACTGCGAACAGGGATGAATGGATGAGAAAAACATTATGACAACCACAAATAAATGGGATAAGGAAGAAGCAGATGATATATTTAAAAAAAACTTGGGAAGTTTAAATAAAATTATTTTTTTTTTCAAAATATTCTAATGCTATTGGCCGCACCTGGCCTTTACAGCTTCACCGGGCGATAGGGGGCGAGTGCAGATGGCACTCTAAACCAAAGGAAGGACTTATGGAGCGGCTGAAGGCCAACTACCGCCTGACGGATACGACTTTACTCTGAGGGCACCACTAGGGTTTAGAACCTCGGCTCAGGCCGTCGTAATTTCGATCTCCGTTTGAATAGAAATAGAAATAGAAATAATCTTTATTCAAATAAACTCATTACAAGCACTTTTGAATAGTCATATTTTGATTCTACCACTCATTCGGAATGCAGATTCATCACAAGAAGAATGAGCAAGAAATTTTGTTGTGATAATAATAATAATAACTTTAAACTATTCACACAGCGCCATCTAGTCCCAAGGTAAGTAAAGCTTGTGTTATGGGTACTAGACAACTGATATAAATACATAGATATCTTTTTGTAAATACATAGAAAACACCCAGACCGATGCAAACAATCATACTCATGAATACAAATGTTTGCACCGTGCGAGGAATCGAACCCGTGACCATAGGAAGTAACGCGGAGGACTAAACCGCTAAACCATCAAGGCCGTTAATATGTTATACAGCAAGTTTTACTATTCAATGGTCGTGGGTTCGATTCTTCGTACGACATTATTGGGTTTTCTATGTAAATAAAGTAAGTTATAGAGTGGAAGTACCAGGACCACATACAGTTACAAAGCTTCAAGGTATGTGAAATTTCTGGGCACTACGGTGGATGTGTGACAAGGATGGATATAGGCTTTTCTAATTTAAAGAAAAGAGACGAAATCGCAGGTTATCGTCAATAGTAGGTATTATATAATTACTTTAATGCCTGGTATTGACTAATACATCTATATATATAAATAAAATTGGAGTGTCTGTTTGTAATATTGAAATAACTGTTTTTTACTAAATGCATACGAATATAAATACGGAACATACACAAAAATAACATTTTTTACAATTTTTGTCTGTCTGTCTGTTTGTTTCGGCTAATCTCTGAAATGGCTGGACCGATTTTGACGAGACTTTTATTGACACGTAGCTGATGTAATAAGGAGTAACTTAGGTTACTTTTATTTTAGAAAAATAAAGTTTAATTAACGCGGACGAAGTCGCGGGTACATCTAGTGTAGCGTAATATCTACATATAAAATTCAGATTACGTCATATCTACCACTTTTCCTCTATGACTCCACAGACATTGCAACATCTCGTCGTTGGATATTCTGTACCTACACCTAGTGACGTCACAGACTTACGTCGCAGGTTTTTTTTTAATTGATGACAAAGGAATGGTGCACCTGTCTGCGATAACGGTATCCACTGACGGGGCACCAGTGGAGGATGATAGATGAAGTCAGGTCAGCTCCATGCTGTCCTGGTACTTTCACTGTTATTAGTACCAGCTGTACCCGTGACTTCGTTCGCGTGATTATCAAAAACACTATCGCGGTTAGTCGTGGTTTTTTTAAAATCATTTAAAAAGGAGTAATTAGAAAGCCTGTATCCCGTTTGTTTGACTGTATTTATACATGTTACTGGCAGCTTGTCTACCATTCTTTTTATAAACTTAATATTTTTATCGATAAAACTTTAAATAATTGATACAAGGATATGGACTACGGATAAGACTTAAATTTTGAACACAAATGAAAACATAATAAATAAACATACATAAGAATCGGCCTTTGGCCTCATCACTTGTTCAAATATGAAGAAGTTTAAAAGTAGACTAGGCTGTACGGTCTAAGGATCTTTGCCTGTTCCATCACTGAAAAGGAGATGGACGAATATGGAAAAAAAAAAAATATTTTTATATCTATTTTATATACGTCACATTAGGCTGTACGGTCTAAGGATCTTTGCCTGTTCCATCACTGAAAAGGAGATGGACGAATATGAAAAAAAAATATATATACGTCACTCTCACTTTTGACTAACAATATTGGACGAATATGGAAAAAAAAAAAATTATATACGTCACTTTTGACTAACAACATTGTTTTGTTACTTCTCGCTGTGAGCCCTTTTGGGAAGAATACACAATTTTACTAGTAATTGGTTTTTATTAAAATAGTAGTTGTGTTCCCGCTCCAGTACAATTCGCTTTGTCATTTGTGTACTATCTGTATTTTATTTTATTTTTATTTATTTGAGCGACCAATAAGACATACACCAGGAGGTTACAATTATTATAACTTGCAAAGAGTTCAGGTATATAGTGTTGACTTAATTACAGGTTGCCACGGCATGCGATATTGTTTACAGAAGTTTATATATATATAAATGTAATTTTTCTTTTTTTTTTTCATATATTATATTTATATGTGTATAAATATTAAAGTTTTAATTTTAACTGTGTTAATGAAACGAGTTTGACTTTTGTCTCAATATCTTGAACTTTATCTAATTGTATATTTAACAAAAACAAGTGAGAAAGTACTAGGATGACATGAAGTTATAGATAGTTTCCAGTGGTTTTAGTTTAGTTTGAAATACAAACAAAGTGGTTTGGTACAACGGTGTAGTGAAAGTACCAGGATAACATGAAGTTATAGAAAGTATTCAGTAGGGTAGTAGACGACGAGATGTCCATGGTGCTGTTCGTGTATACATGCCACGGTTACGACCTACCATCCGGGCTGTTTACCATTACTGTTACACTAGCTTTTGCCCGCGGCTTCGCTCGCTTTGATTGACAAAGCTTCATGCAAACTTTCATCCCCTATTTTATCCCGTTGGGGGTAGAATTAATCAAAATCCTTTCTTAGCGGATGGCTACGTCATAACATCTACCTGCATGCCAAATTTCAGCCCGATCCGTCCAGTGGTTAGGGCTGTGCGTTGATAGATCACTATGTCAGTCACCTTTGAGTTATATATATATATATATATATTTAGATTTAGACTCAAAGTCCAAATATATATATAATCTAGACAAAACGGTCTATAACTCAGAGGGAACGGTGAGTCCATCCTCTCTGCTATTCTGTTATAGCCTTTATTACTATATATATAAAAAATCTACAAATACAATAAAAAATCTTTTGTTTGTTTTATCATCATAACATGGCGTCTCCAAATGGACGAAGCCACTGGCATAACTAGTTTTCAATGTATTATTTGACTCGTATGTACATTGCAAAATCTAGAACGTTCCAAAATCCAAACCATTAGCGCCCTTGACATAATGTGGTACAAGCAACGAACCGTCGGAATCAAATTTATTTTTACATTCACTCTGTCGACCAATTTCTATATTTATTGTGTAGGTTTGGCCCACAATAGGGAACTAGGATTGTCATCTCCATCGCGTAACCGAGTTATTTTATCTCTACATCTAAAACTGTAATCTTCATCTAAACTGAAATACCATCCTGATCATCTGTATGAATGGCGGTCTTCCACAGTGCGGTTGTCTAGAAACTTTTTGCCTCGCACAACCACATTGTGGAATCACCTTCCTGCAATGGTATTCCCGAACCGATACGATATTGAAACCTTCAAGAAAAGAGCTTATTCCTTTTTAAAAGGCCGACAACGTACTTGCAATTCCCCTGGTGTTGCGGGTGCTCATTGGCGGCGGTAATCACTTACCATCAGGTGATCCTTAAGCTCGTTTGTACCCTGTGTTATAAAAAAAAATCTAAAACTTTAAAGACAAACCTACTCTTCCTAAGTATTGTTTAGAAAAATCTTTTATGGGATAGCTAGAGGTACGAAAATGTATAATAATATTTCAAAAACTATACCTACTAAGTTAATAGGTCTTTTATGGGAATAGGTATAAAAATTTACAAAAAGATACCAAAGGATATGTTGGTATTACCCTTAAATAAATTCAAAACATCTGGTAAATCATATTTACTGAGCAAAACCTATTACTCACTAAATGATTACTTGAATGACGAGCGTGCATGGCAATAGTTGTTCATGCACTGGATTTTCATTTAATGTTAGACATAGACACCTATATAAATATACATTGTAAATAAACTGACTTTATTAAAAACAAAGAAATTCAATTGAGTTTCTTGTGTGTTCTTCTCAATTGAATTTGTATATTGATTATTGACTGATCTGACGGCAGGGAAAACTTATACCTAAATACATAAAATTTGATGTTCATAAGCGGCTAAAATATCCTACATAAATAAATTCTTTTTGAATCTTTAATTTTATATGATCCTGGTACTTTCAATGTAGCAGTATGGGGAAAGGCGATTTATTACGTAATGGCAAACAAGCATACGGCCTGATTGATAGTAATAAAGACATGGTACACTATAATAATAATCTTTTTATAGTGTACCATGTCAGGTTGACCTCGACGCAGTTCCCCTTGGAAACCATCATGACAAATTCCTGGTAAATTTGTCACCTTACCTCATGGTCATAGAATAGAATAGAATAGAATTTTATTAACTCGTTTTTACAGTAATAACATAAGAAATACAAGAATAATTTACACATTAAAAAACGGAGTCAAAGTGGACCACAACTCAGCATAATGCTGGAAATAGTTTCCAGCGCTGATTTACAGTTGGGCCCTCAGTACGGACGCGCAAATATTACAATTAAAAAATACATATACATAAACTTAATAAATCAGATATTATACAATTAAAATAAAAATAATAATATCAAGAGAAAAAGT